CATAAAGTGGTATTAACACTTCACAGGATCTTGGTTCTATCCCTCTGTTAATGCAGCCTAGAACTGTGTTGGCTTTTACAGCCGTTGCAGTTCACTCTCCTGGCTTAAAACACACCAGTATGAGAAGACCTCAGGGAAGTAGCGTTCAGTTTCTTTGCTGGTGCTACGAGAACCCCTCAGCTTCTGATGTGGTCCTAAGCTTTCTATCCCACTCACTTACCAAGAGGATCTCCTCAAGATGCTTGAGTTCCTGCTCCAGAACTTGCAACTCAGGGAACTGGCCCCGATAGTCATCCAGAGCAGAAGCCAGTGTGTTGATGGCCTCCTCCAGGCCAGAGTCCACAGGTTTGGGCCTTGGAGGTTCTGAGATCCCTGATGGCTGAAGCTGTCCCGAGGCTGATGGGGCCAAGGAAGACTTGGGCTGTTGAACCTCTGGGGCTGGACCAGGCACGTCCTCACTCTCCTCTCCAACAGGGGCAGCCCCATCAGGCTCATCCTCTTGCTCCTCGTCCTCACAGATCTGAGCGTCCAGTGGCGAGCCCACACTTGGGGGCGTGGAGTTCGTTTCCAAGGGCGGGGCACCCCAAGGGCCAGCCTCCTTGGGGACAGGACACTCCCTCTCTTCTGCGATGGGCGAGTCTACACTTGCTTCGCTGATCTGGCTGAGAGTCCGGGCATAGGGCACGTGTCCGTTGGCCATGGCGGCCTCCTCTCGGATTGCCGGCTCCTTGTCCTCGGGGTGGGTGAAAGCGATTTCAATGGCAGGTGCAGTGGCCTGCACTGCAGGTTGCACAATAGGCCTGGGCAATGAATGTCGGGCACCTCCGGACAGCTGCGGGCTGGAAGAGTCATCGGACGACTCCGAAGAGATGGACCAGGCTGCCCCATTCTCCAGTTCCTCTTGCTGCCGCAACATGTTCTGAAGAAAACAACGACATGGGTGAGATACGACTGCACTGAGCATCGCACGTCAGAATGAGCCCACAAGTAGAACCTCTTCCACCCACAAACACACTCGTTCACCCCCCCCCCCAAGGCCCAACTTTGCCTTCTTCTGGAACATCAACGGGTCTTCTTCCTTGACCTGATGTGCCAACTGCAGGGAAACCCAAGGCTGCAACTAAATTAACCAAAACCTGTTCCAGCTGCTGGGTCCCTTTGTGTCATCTTGCAAATGACCCCGGGGGGAGCAAAACATACATATTTGCATTTTTATAAGAGTGAAACCTTATGCTGACTATTCTTAATAACAGCCTTCATCGAACCTCTGAGAGGGTGAAAACTGCTTCCGCCAGGCTCCGGAGGCCTTCCGGGAGGCCCCGTTTTCCCGCGGGCCCTGCACATAGCTTGCATCCAAACCCAGGCGGACTGTAGCAGGGGTCTGCACACAGACCACTAATCCTAGGTTGCCAACATCTTCTTTAAAGGAAGACCTTTCATGCTAAATCACATGATGTTCCGCCCCCCCCCCCAACCAGTGGTGAAATTCAATTTTTTTTACTACCTGTTCTGTGGGCGTGGCTTGGTGGGCATGGCAGAGGAAGGATGCTGCAAAATATCCATTCTCACCTCACTCTGGGGCCAGCCAGAGGTGGCATTTGCTGGTTCTCTGAACTACTCAAAATTTCCACTACCGGTTCTCCGAACTACTCAAAATTTCCGCTACTGGTTCTCCAGAACCTGTTGGATTTCACCCCTGCCTCCAACCCCCGGCCTGCAGGAGTAGCAGCTAAGTAAACACATAATCAGGACTGACAACTACAAGCCGACAAGACAAAGGAAGCCCGTACAGTTCACTACTGTCAAGTACCACTCATCTACCTGAGCTCTGCCAGGTGCTACGGACTAAAGGAGAGGTTAAAGCAGAGGAAGCTCCACTGTGGGACACCAACGGTGCGGGCACTTACGCAACCCTGAGACGCCTTTGTGCTGAGCTGCACCGAGGAGACGTCGCTGCACGAACAGCTCCACGGCAGCCTTTCCAGGACGGTCTCTTGGAAGACGTCCATCAAAGCCCGCCTCTGCTTGGGGACCGCCTCCCAAGGCAGGCTCTTGAGCAGAGAGAGAGGGTCAACCATCAACACCCAGAACTTCCAACCTCGGTTGGGCTCTCTATGTTACTACCGCTTATGGCAGGGGTGTCAAAACTCGATTTCACTGAGAGCTGCATTAGGGTTGTGTTTGGCCTTGGAGGGCTAGGATGGGCGTGGCCAGCTCAATGTCACTTTTGTCAGGGGCGCCCGAGCGCTCTGCCAGTGAAAACGGGCTCTCAAGCTCTATTTTCAGCTGCAACGGCCTCCTGCAACCGTCTGCCAGTGAAAATGGGAGCCTGAGAGGGCCGCCTGCAGCCCTCGCGAGCGGTTTTTCACAAGCAGAGGGATCGCAGGCCGGTCCTTTGCCGTCCAGCCCCCGGGCCTTGAGTTTGACACCCCTGGTTTATGGGATCAAGGTGAAGAATGCCCTACTACTCTGCAATAAATCTAGCTGTCAGTTAGAAAGGTCGGAATAGTTATTCTCCTTCCTTTTGGAGCGTTTCACGTACAAAGAGGAACATCCTTCACCTGATAAAACGCAGTTTGTTTTGGACTGCAAAGGAAAAGGTTTTGTTTTCCGTACCTTTTTCTCCCCCCCCCCCCATTTTTTTTCCTTGACATGAATCAAAGCATTGACATCGTTTTTTCTGAGGTCCACATATGGAGTTCAAATGAAGTGCTGGAGATACACACACACACACACCGGAAATAGACAGGGCCAGGATTAAACGAGCCAGGGCAGATCAAAATAAAATTGGATTAAATCAAAGTAACTTAACCAGATTAGCACCATTTATTCCACCTATTTCATTATACGTTAAATTCAATTTTTGGAGAACAACTTTTTGAGATCTCTGGGGACTGCAGCCAAAGCATCAAGGGCTAGCATTAGTTGAATAATCTCAGATTGCGTAAATCCCTGTCGTAATCTATCATTTCTAGAAGTGGTTAAAACATAGATTTCTGGGTTAGCTGAAGCAAGAAGCTGTGTTTCAACCTCTGATTACAGATCGAGATTGCAGAAACCAATTCAAGATTACATCCTGGTTGTTTGGTTTGAATGCGCTAAGAGCTGTGATTTGACAAATCCTACCCCAAGTCTAATGTCTAGAGCACTGATGGTGAATCTTTTTGGCACCAAGTGCCCAAACTGGAACTTGTGTGCATGTGCACGCACCAGACCAGCTGGCCGGCGTGTGCATGCCTGTTTTTTGGCCATTTTTGGCTTTTTTCGGGCCCTTTTCAGGCTGTTTTCAGATCCTTTTCTGGGCCGTTTTCCGGGCCATTTTCAAGCCAAAAACAGCCTGAAAAATGTCCTGAAAACGGACCGGAAAACAGCCTGGTTTTGGCTGTTTTTAGGCCGTTTCCTGGCGCCCCGGCACCTGCAAAAATCAGCTGGCATTGGAAACCAGAAGAGCAGCTGGCGATGGCGCGCATTCCCACAGAGAGAGCTCTGTGGCATGAGTGCCATAGGCTCATCATCACGAGTCTAGAGATATAAAAACACTTAAGTAGACAAACAAGTATGAAAATGTTCCGTGTTGCAGGATCCAGACTGATTCGGTCGCTAGGATGAAAGGTCTATTCTTCCAAATGGTCAAATTTGTGCTGAAGCCCATCATCAGTTAACTTCTCTCTCTCCAGAAAACGTGCATGGACTGTTGTATGTGTTATATTTGTATAAGTTCCAGGAACAAAAGACATCCAAGGGAGTCTGGGTCTACTCTGACTTAAAACTTTTTTTTTGAACACTAACAAGACTTTGTGGGTAAGACTGAAGGAGTAGAGTGATGCATAGTTTCTTACTGGACACAGATGACTTATTCTCTGGAAAAAAAAACCTTGGTGTATGTGTTCTGTTAAGATACAGCCTGTTGTGCCTTAAAACGGCTTCTATTGTACTGCTGTAAAATGGCTTCTACTGGGCAGCGCAGTGGAGTTGCCATGGTAACGGCTTCATAATACTCCACAAGGGGGCTCCCTCTGGTAAGGGGGGGAATATACCACATTAGAAATTACGTTTGGTCTGGATATTTCCCCCTTATAAATAAATAGCTGGGCAACGCCGGGTTATAGATTATTCTCTTAATAAATGTAGCACCCACTGAAGGAGTACTCACATAAAAGGCTTGTTCTCTCATGGAAGGGGTATCAGGTGGGCTCTGGTTGTATGTGGAGAACCGCTTGTTGACTGTCGATGTCTTGTTCACAGTACTGGCAGAAGACGGCTGGTCCTCTTTATCAAACGGACTGATGGAAGGAAAGTGTCGTAGTTAGTGGAGAAGAAGGGAAAGTGAGCCGATGGGAGAGGTGGACCCACCTGCTCTTCACATCACTTGGAAGAGCTTCAAGGAGACACTATGGACTCTCTCACCGGAACCCTTCGTTCATCGTGGCCCACTTAAGACACCCAACAACGTCCTAACCTTAGAGGAGAACAGAACAAGCCCGAAGGCGCAGAAGAGCACTCACTTCCAATTGACCTCCAGGCTTAGCTTGATTGTGCCTAGGTCATTGATGTCAACTGCCACCACTTGGGGCAGGGCTGCAAAGAGATCCTTGGTCTCGCAAGAGACATTCCCCACCACTACATGGCTGGCCAAGCTCTTGAGTTCCGTCACCTGAAAGGAGAAAGAAAAAAGCGGAATTATCGTGAGTAAGGAAAAGACATCTTCTTCTAGGTAGGAGTCGTCTGACCAGGGAGACGTCAATCACCTTGATGGACAGAAACTCTGTAATAAGAGGCAAGAAGATCATCTCCTCACTATCCCAGACTTGCTTGCTGTTGGCTTCAATGCGACCCCGTAGTTTCCATCTCTGGCGCCCATACCTCATGAAGATCTACCGAGAAAGAGGAGGAATTTGGGTAACAGTTAGATGACTAGCAATAAGATTCAGTCTCACAGTTTTAAGCCAGCTTGACTGCAAGCCTTCCTGGGATAACAAACAGAAGGGACAAATTCACCCTATTCCTTAAAAGGTAAAGGTTCCCCTCGCACATATGTCGTTCCCAACTCTAGGGGGCGGTGCTCATCTCTGTTTCAAAGCCGAAGAGCAAGAGCTGTCCGAAGACGTCTCC